ATATATATATATATATATATATATATATATATATATATATATATATAAAGTGATCAATGCCAAAATATAATAAGCAAAAAGACTATGTGTCAAGTCACATGTGCCATCACTCACGTGATTGGCTTGTAGGGCACTTATGACTAGCAGTATCGGTATCAATATGTCGTGGTGGCTTCCGTCGTAGCGGGTCCTGATTCGATCGTCGTTGCAAGAGTATTGGTATCTGTCTGTTGTGACGGCTTCCATCGTAGTAGGTCTTGAATAACCATCGTAGCAGGAGTGTCGGTGTCAGTCTATCGTAGCGGGTCTTGATTCGATCGTCATAGCGGGAGGATGGATGCACTGTAATGGGCTTTGGCTTGATCACGTAAGCGAGAGGTTAGACCCACTGCGATGGGCTTTGGCTCGACTGCGTAAGCTAGAGAGTGGACCCACTACGATGAGCTTTGGCTCGACCGCATAAGTGGGAGGCTGAACCCACTGTGATGGGCTTTAGCTCGATAGCATAAACGGGAGGATGGATCGGCTGTGGGTTTTGGCTCGACCACATAAGCAGGAGGATGGATCCGTTGAGGTGGCTTTTATCGTAGCGGGTCTTGATCTCGACTACATGGGTGGGAGGATGGATCCGCTATGGCGGGTCTGGTCAATGGTCGTAGGTGATGCTGTTGTGTGTTGTGTCATCCTTTCCATGGCATTTTGCAAATGGTGGATACTAGGGTCCAGGGCTGTTGAGGTTCGGGCCGTAGAGCTGTTCTTGGAGCTAGTGCTAACTCATCAACGGTCCAGGGGGGCCAAGTGAAGGCTCGATGAGGCTCGGGATGCATCGGTGGTTGTCGAGGATGAGGCGACACGCCACAATACGGAGGCAAAGGAGTGACTAGATGTTCTGGTCGTGCCTCCGAGCTACGTCTACGACCTTACATAGCAGGCCTGCGTCGGGGGTGTCTCGGCTCGACCCCTCCGATGCTTAAGTTAGCGAATAATGGAGAGGGAGGCAAGAAATAGTATGAGCAGTGTAAATGAGAGTAAAGGGTTTTTGATCGCCCCCTTTCGTCTTAGTTTGGGGCTTGGCTTTTATACCTGGGTGCCGAGCAGTCTCGACGTTTGTTAGCCAAAGCTCATTTTATCCTATATGGTGAAGGCATTAAAGAGGCTGACTTGTTAGCGTGTGTCCTCTAACGCCTTGGGCAAACCATTGGGACACCTCTGGGTTGACTCCCTTGTCGCTTTGGGTTACGTAGGGAGTGGTCCCTCCATCAGCTGTCCATAGGGGAAGAGGCATATGAAGTCGGGTGATGCTGTCAGTCATTAATGCGGAGGCATTGCTTCTGCTAAGATGTCAACTCGGAGGCGATTGGGGAAGCTGGGGCATGCCATCAGTCATTAATGCGGAGGCATGGCTTCTGTTGAGATGTCGGCTAGGAGGCGATTGGGGAAGCTGGGGCATGCTACCAACCATTAATGTGGGGCATGGTTTCTTTAGCTGGGGCATGCTGCCAACCATTATCCTCGTAGCTAACTCAGACCCGCCTTCGAGTTGAGGAGGTAGAGGAGTGCCTCACAGAGGCATGTAGAAGGGTGGAGGTCGAGACATCTGAACTATCCTTGGACATAGGTCTGGTCATCCGCTGTGCCGAAGAAGTCAAGGCACGGGCGGAGGAGGCTCAAGACATGGTGATTTCCACTGAAGACGAGAACATAGAGAGTGTGGCAGAGGCCTAAGAGTGGGTTGAAGTCCTGCACCGAGAATTGAGAGATACTCATCATTAGTTGGGCGAGGCCATCGAGGAGGGAAAGCAGTTGAGAGAGCGTTTATTGACCAACCATGACGAGTTGGTGGTTGTCCGTCTAGTAGTTGAGGAGGCAAAAGAGACCTGAGAGGAGGAGAAGAACCAAGCTTCTGAGTAGAAGTGGAGGGTCGTGGACTCC